GAGTAACTTACAAACTAACAAGTGAAGGAAAACAATGAAAGACAATCTGGAACCATCCTGTAGCCTTTGTCCAAACTAGGGACGGGCATGAGTACTCAAGTACTTGTTTGGACGTCAGTATCCATTCAACATATAGAGTAATCGTCGCCCAACCTCCATCACATGACCATGACTTTCATATCATCTTTTACTGTTTAAAAAAGGCAAACTCTTATTTCATTGTAGACTTCTGTGCAGTGTATTGCTTGGGTCAGCGCAGTGCCTCCTTGCCCTGCTGTCGCTCTCTCTTTGTTTATCATGAGACTACTGCTGTGAGAGGGTGAGCTCCGTGCTGGGGACAGATGGAGAGCGATAGGACTAAATGTTAGCATTATACTGTTGATGTTACCTTACGTTTATTTATGGGACAGAGTGGAACCGGCTCGGTGAAAGATGTTCGCCGCTACTGCTGTGTTAGTGTGTGCTAACTAGGCAGATGTTAAGCTGACAGGGAGGAGAGCAGCTCAGTGGCTATCAGTGCTGCATCTAACCTATGTAATGTTAACAGCTAACCTGGAAATCCAGATGCCCCCCCCCCTAGCAAATTCGAATTTGCTCTGCGCGAGGATCTGGCCCCGACGAGCAGAGCCCGGTGAATCACCATCGGACCAATCAGATCAGTCTATCTGACAGAGGCGGGCTCTGGGCGGGCGTAACATGACGACGACAACGCTGCGCTGTAGGAGTCGAAAAGTAAACAGCCAAGATGGCAGCTGCCAATGGACCACATCCATTCAATTTAGCTTTGGAAGAAACGCTAAGCCAACTACACTTATCTTTTTCCTTGAGAGAGGAACAGAAGACTGCCCTAGAAGCCTTTGTTTCCAGGAAGGATTGCCATTTTGCCGACGGGATACAGCAGAAGCATAATATATCAGTTAGCCCCACTAGTCTGCAAACAAATAGGGCTTAGTGCAATGAATACGTCACCTTGTTTTTTGCTCTGATTGGCCATCGTGCTATCCAGTTGCATGTGGCGGCATTTGAAATGCCTCAGTTAGTGCCGCCCCTTGGGTAGGAAGGGTGTATCGGTGAGGGCCAGACTCAGAATCTTTCTAGATTTGAGTCTGGATTTCCAGGCTAGTTAACAGCAGCATCAGAAAGTTTGCTGATTTTTCTGATGTGAATTTTGAATTTATGGTTTAAAAACACTGAATAAAGCAGGTTAAGGTTACAAATCCATGTTTCTCCAAAGCTGTTCGGCATCTTGGAGACAGGCTGCTCGCCCATTTTCTGATCCATATGTTCAGAGGATTTTTACCGTGAGCCAAACTATCCATAAAAGGTCTCCTTCTTTCCAAAACAAACAGAGCTTGTGATGTAACCTGGTAAACACACCAAATAATGCTGCTTCCCATTAAAAATCTTTATATTTCCCATGCAGTTTGGCATGTCACTGTTGGCGACTAGTCCAACACATAATAATGTGTGGTCATCTTTTTTCTCCGATGGCGTAAGATTTAGACATTCAGGAGGTTTTCACTGGAAGCCCAAGGTCTCTCCCTCTCCAAAACAAACAGACTAGGTCATTTAAACCACGAGAAACACTGAATAAAACAGTTTGACGTTAAACATCAGTGTAACTCAGGTGCTGGTCGTTGCAGTTGGACTTCTTGGCCCTGTCTGGAGCCTGTGATTGGTTTGTCCATACTGAGCTACTGTAGAAACAGGGCAGTGCAACATGGTGATCTCCATAAATGAAAACCTGCTCCCTATGTAGATATAAATGGCTCATTCTAAGGTAAGGAGACTGCAACAGTTCTTATTTTTTAAATCGTGTCCACTAAAGAAAACATACTTTTTATATTGTGTTTCATTTCTGACAATATTTCCCCCGTACATCCTACACACTGGACCTTTAAATGCCCATCCCCAGTCCAAACCACCCTTTTGTATTAATAAATAAATCAAAAACAGTGCCAATGATAATGGAGGGGAGCAATGTTAACTGCATCAACAACACGAGGCAATTATCCTCTTTCAGACCTATTAAGAGTTCAGCAGAGACTGAATCATTTACTCTAATGTGAAATCACTAGCGAGTAAACCTTTGTTCAGCCTGTGTGGGAGGTTGTCAGCTGCAAAGTTGCATATCAAATGATATTTCCAATGATGTCTCATCCACAACTGAAGTCAAATTTGGGAAGAAGATGAAAAAGTTTTCTAAGGAATCAAATCATTGCATAATGAGACAAGAAACAATCTAAGAGGCTGGTCTAAATCTATTCTAACACAATTCAAAGTCCTACCCAGATGAGTAATTGCACTGTGCATCATCTTATCGTCCTCAACATAGGATTTTCATTAAGAACAGTTCAAGATACCAGCTAATTCAAACACCAATTCAAACCTCACATAAAAGGCCTTCGTTCAGATTTCTGTATCAAAGTGACATTTAATCCGTTCATCGACATTCACTTTGTTTTGCAACAGGAAACTTGGAATACTGAGGCCCGCTGAGCGTGCATGCCATGGGCTAAATATACCGTGCACACACACCAATGCCTCCAGATATTTTTGTATATTATGGTTCATGCTCTCAAATGAAAAACGTTTTATCTTTTAGGGAGGGAAAAGGCTTTTGTTATGCTATCTGTTATGGACCTTTTGGCACCATTTGCTACAGACTGACTGTGACAACTGTTGCAGAAATTAAATCTAGAGAGAAGCCTAAGGGTCAGGCATCTGTTGGTCTTTAGATATAATAGTGCATGATGGAGGTCGGCAAACTGTTGTGGGTCTCTGGATGAAAAGGCTTTAACACGCTTTTATGGCACACGGGTGAATGGGTGCAGCCTTTGCAGCTCCTCGCCGTTGCAAAAAGAAGGACAGTGTGTGCTAGCCTGTCTGGAAGAATTTGTTGAGAAAACTGTTTACGGTCTGTTTAACTGTCCTTCCTTTTTGAAGAGGCCCTCATTATCTGTCTGCTGCCAAAGCCAACTTTAAGATTGTGCCTTGTTTCAGCTATAATTTACTTTTTTTTCTCCAACATGCCCCCACAATATAGGCACAGGCTTGTGTACAAATGTGCAGCCTAGGTATCAGCTGAAATTCACAGAAATGAAATGCCAGTTAAAATGGAAGGAATGGAGCCATTTCCGTTAAACACAGTCAAAGGGGAATCTAATGTGAGGTGAGAAGGGATTATCCGCCCTCCCTGATCACCATCTTTAGCTCCCGAAATAGAGGACTTAATGGGAAAAAGTGAATTATAACACCCAAACATCATTAAAGCCCGACGCAACACCTGGGCCCCGGACACTTTCCCCAACACTGTCCAAGACTCCTCCAGGTCTGTTCATACACACTAGAGGGAGTGGGACAGATGGTGGTAAACACATCAAGCTGTTACGCAAACTGCACTCACAAATATCCTTTCCTCCGCATTTGGGCAGGGTCACCTCAAGACTCTGCAGTGTTGCACAACCACCTTAACTGTGTAACACTTACCTGAATGCATGGCAGGATGCATTATGTTGTAATTGCTTTTTTTATACTTGTACTGGCATTTCCGTTGTCTTTTATGGCTTGATGGGAATGAATATTTTTATGTTTTGGCTGTTTCATCGCAGCCAGTGTTGGTCAAACAGCCTTTGAAGTCGCACAGTACATGATTTTTATCTAAATAATTAAATCATTTCATCCGACAAAGCAATAAACAACATAGTTTTGTTTTTCATTTGATGCTTTCAAATGTGTGAAGACTTTATAGAGTGGCCAAATTAATGATCTGTATATCACTAAAATTAAAGATTAAAGACCACTGAAGTCCTTTAGTTCAGACACGGCAGATTCATTTAACAGTTTGCAGTGGAGTGTACAGAAATGTCATTCTATTTTTTTAGAAGTCTGTGAACAGACATACTGAAAAAATGCTTAGAAAAAAGCAAACAAGGCAGCCCAGTCACCAGAAGAAAATGCTGGCATTGTACATTTCTGCAAACCACAAATATGTTTCATACGTGTCGTATCAATGTTTCCAAAGTGACGTAGTTTATGAGCTGACTTTGTTATCAGGAGGTGGTGGTGGATGGCGTGGCATCTCGGTGAGACGCCTGCCCAGCTGCAGAGCTCAAGGCCAGCAAAGGGGTCATTACGGTTTTTTCAGCAGCCTTTTACCCACCAAACATGGTTGTTTTTTAGTAACCAAGTGCTGTTTTTTCACCACTAAATAGTACCCCAAAAAGCTGTTGTTTTTCACTGAGACATTGATGGCTTCTCCAGCTGTGACTGTGCCACCAAACTGGGTTTTTACTACGCCTAAACATGATCTTTTTCTAACCATTTTTTGCCTAAACCTAGCCACATGTTAAACCACAATACTGTTGAAATGTTGAGTTTCAAAATATCTGCTACAAAATGACATGAAAATGTAACGTATTTTTGGCTTGTAGAAATATACGATGCCATCTGCGTTCCTACGACTGGGTTGCACAGATTAAAGTGGTAAAAATCGAGGCAACATTAATCCAGATTTCTGGTATCTAGTACCGGCCAAGCATCGAAAAACACTGGATCCTACATTTACCACGATTGAAACCCCCCCCCCCCCCCCCCACACAGAGACTTTCTTTTCTTTCTTCAGGGCTTCAGAAGACATTATAAAAACTGTTTTCACAAGCTGAGTCGTCCCCTCGTGACAACTACACCAAACTCAATGTGTTTAATTGGTGGTGTGCCATTTTAAAGTGCGCAATGTCCACTAACAATTAGGTGGCAGAGCCCTATTGTAAAAATGTCCATCACTGTCCATGCCTAGCAAAGAGTAGCCTAAGTAATTAAATAAAATGGAGCTAATGAAAAGGTCTCATAACAAAGGGAGATCTGCATTTGTCCAACACAGCAGCGTTTCTCTCTCTCACACGTCTAAAGGACTCTTGTGCAGCCTGTGGCACTGTTGTAGCTAAAACAGGCCATGCTAAATTCCACCACCTAAATGAGCATTTGTTATTTCTGCTCACCTTTTTTCCTGTTGAAGGCGCGGTTCATAGTGGAAAATGTGCGTCTCCGAGGTCCCTCTGGAGTATCTGCCTATATTCCACCTGGAAAAGCAGCAGGGAAAGGGGAGTTAAAAATGGCTATAACCTCAAGCCTTCATGAAAAGGCATAAAGTCTGAAAACAAACCGTCTGAAGTTTTTTTTTTTTCTGCAAAAACTCCCCACCCTCTGAGAGTGAGGGAATGTTTAGCTGTCAGAATGTGTTCCCATTAAACTCCCAGACCATCTGCATTACAGTTGTTTACCGCTGGGCCACATCATACTCATCATCTGTGAAGGCTGTGATTTTAATCTTGTGGTGGGGATAATAAAGTACTCACTGTCATTACTGTTCTACAGCACAGAACATGTAGTACGCTTTTGCATGGCAAAATATAATGTTGTTTACTATTATTTTCTAATCTTCACAACAGAACTGGGTCATATTTTTCTGTCTAAGTGAGACGTGTTCAACGGCATCACCACTTCACATCTAAGTACACACACAGTAACAGGGCACAAAACCTGAAACTAAACCCATGAAGTTTAATCATCAAAAGAGATCCTAATGTTGACCTTCTGTGTTTTGTTACTAATCATCATCCACAGATTTGTGTCAGTATTAAAATGATCTCACAAAAAACAACTTGGGCATATATCATTTTCTACTTGTACTGACATTGTCTGGATCAAGTACAAGGTGCTACACTACAGAGGAGCTACTTCTTTAACAAATGCAAAACATCCACCTCCACAGCACCTCTAAAGTGTGACACCTTGCTGTTGACTGCTTTCAGGCCTTGCATCAATTCCTCACGAGAGTTCAGCAATCAAGAAGACTGTAAGGGCGAACTGTCCAGGACTAAGGTAGCTGTCAGCATGCTCCACAATCAATATTCTTTACTGTGGAAGAATATGCAAAGCCTTGCTGCATAACTGCTATTTCAATCTATGCCTTTGCAAACAAATTAACTTGTGCTCGGGCAATTTAGAAAATGAATTGAATTTTTCCATCTTTGGCATTTTCCATTTATCAAGGGAAGTCTGAGCTGTTACAAGTTTTTAGTGAACGGAGAAACAAATCCTGCTCAAGCCTTGGAACCAAATGGCTAACATGCTGTATCCTGTGACAAAGTGCTGCAAATTTTGACACAAAGTTTGATGTATGAAAACTGTGATAGCTCTGTGACAGATCCATTGAATGTGCTGTCATGTTAAAACAAACTTATGGCAAAAGACCATGTTGTAAGTACATTTAAAACTCAAATCAAATTGAAATTGAGAACCGTTCTAGTACACAGGTAGGTTTAAAACCTTAAGTTGTTGAGGAAGATTCATTTTGCATTCTGGTGTTTATCTTGAATGATAGCCTCACATAAAGGCATACATGGATTACAAGTCCTAATGAGTCCAAACTTTTTGACCTGATCTGGAACACAACTCCAGAAAACCAACCAAAACTTTTTGTGCATAAATTCATTGTCTTATAGACATAAATAAATCTTACTATATAATGACGAAAACTCTGTCTGTGGGTGTGTCTGTCTGTGTCCCTGTTCCACATTTTTCTACTCACTGACGTGGTCAATCTATGTGAAACTGCACATAGGCATTGAGGATTGGCATAGGCAGAAGGTGACAAAGCTACCAATGGGTATGGATGAGTTAATAATAATGAAAATAATAAAAATAGAATAAAGGCTGGTCCAAAGGGGACCCAGGGCCAGTCAGACCTGATTTAAACACACCTGAGGATAATGAGACTCGGTCCAACATGCAGTGAAGCTAAACAGACCCAGATATAGAGAAAACATCAGTTCATGCTCTCCATAGTGCAACAATAAAAAAACAACACACAATTTGAATTTAGTGATGACTTTTTAACACCACTTGATCATAGCTCAGATTTACTTTGGGGATTATATAGATTGATGCACACACCCAGTGCAATACAACCTGACCAGATTGAACCAAATAGACTTTGGACCCAAGCCAACTGGGATACCAGGTCAGGTCCCAGTCACTGGGTGAACCTGAAGAGACCTTTACAGTGGATTACTTCTATTACCCAATCTGTACTTTAAGACTGGAGCTGAACATTTAACTTATATTCATTAATTGAGTGGGTATTTGGTTTTGGAATTTTTTTAATATATATAAATGAAGTGTTTCCCCACACATTAATTTATTTGTGGCAGCCCACCACAATATCAACATTACTATTTAAAATGGGTAAGACCTTATGTCATTGTAGAGCTGCACACAGCGTTTTGATTTCCTCAGTTTCTGCCCTGCTTCCTCTCTCTTTTCATCCTGAGAGCGTCGCTCTGCACTGGGGACATTTCGTAAGCCCACCCCCACAAACAGTAACGGGGTTAACTGTTGGCATCACTGACAGTTAATGCTACGTTAAGGTTATTAATGGGTTTAACGACTGTTGGGCTGTTTCAATGACGTTCTGAGTTGCTGGGATCCTTTAACGGCTAGGTGTTAGATATTAGCTGCTGCTGCTGCTGTTTTAGCTTGTGCGAACCAGGCAGACATTGAACTGATTGTGCGCTGGGAGAAGAGTAGCTCCTGCAACAGTCCATCAACAAGGCATCCAACCCGTCTAATAGAGACAGTGACTCTTATAAATATAATCTTTCAAGTTGTTGGAGCTTTTCTGAGCTTGTGTTTCACAGCTTTGTCAGGCTTTGTCTCAGATTCAGAGCCTATAATTATGAGAATTTATGTTCAGCACCTGTACACACCCCAACAACCCCACGGCCAAAGCGTCAAGTATTTGCTGTTAATTACTTTTGAAGCTCCAGGGCCCAAAAAAATGGTATTCTGGAGTGCACTATTATAATGTATATACGACCTAGGCAACTCTTTCCTGTTGTAGCTACATACTGTATATGAACACTTAATTGTCAAATGTATTGGGTTACATTGCTTAAATGAAATGTAATCAGTGAGACCACATCTTAAATGGTTCTGTAACCCTTCTCTGACTCTGCTGGTGCTTTTTACAATAAATCCTGGCTTGTTACATCACCTGCCACTGCAACAAATGGAGGAAGTTCATGCTGTGTCGTGCCTTTTATGAGGCACAAACACCAATTATGAGTGAGACATAAATGATGCCATTCAGAGAGTACGCTGTTATATAAAAGGCATTATCATCCAATAGTCCTTGGGGCTGAGAAATAAGATAAAAACAGAACTTTGAGAAACAACTCAATGACTGTAGCACCAGAGGTTAATGGGTCATTAGCTTTGACTGAATGGCAGCGAGGTGCCACCATAAAATGATTGAGTCAGTTGTAGAGTCACATATCTTGCTGTATAGAACTGCCGGGGGAAACTGGTGACAAACAAACAAACAAACCATCCTTAAAAAAGAGACATGTCTATGACAGAGCTCCAATTATTTTTGAATTTGAATTAAACAGGCTCTGCAATGATAAGCAACTGTCTCCTTAAAAAGAAAAACGAAAAGCCCTTCGCTGCAGACTCTACATAATAAGGCACATAATGATATATGGCACATAATTGAGGGAAATGTAGCTTGCAGATACAAATACAATGTATGTGGGTTCTCGCAGTAAGGGGATATTTTACTGCAACAGAGGCCCTGGAAAGGGCTGGAGAGAAGTTAAATGGAACAAGCTTCAGGGTGGGGACTGGGACATTCCACAGTCTACCAAAACAGAATATCTTTGCTGCTGAAAAAGACAACTTGTGCTCCTTATTTACAGGTCCAACATGCTGCTGTTAACATTCAATGGGCACATGTACGAGAACACAGCTATTGTTTACATTTCACCAAAGACGGGGAGGCTGGATTCTGCAGCTCTCAGCACCAAACTACTCTGCAGTATCTGGACTGCTTAACTAAAAACCTTGGCAGTGATGACCTTGGTGTTGAACCAGATTTTTAGATTTTAGTTTCCTTCATCTTCAAAGAAAGTTAGATATCCTTTGCTGTGATGTAGCACTGCATTAAGAAAATGCAGCCTCCCTTTAAGAGTTTCTGGTATTTTGTACAGAGGTATAGTCATTTCATATTTTCTAAAAATCTGGAGAGAGAAAGAGACGCATCAGTGGGAATCTTTTGTGGCAGGAAGTATGGAGGGGATTTGGACTGCCTCTCTGCATTTCCATCATGAATTTAAATAAAGTATTTTTAACCAACTGCAGTGCTCAGGAGGTGTGGTGCACCTGAGAAATGCAGCTAAAACTGGCCTTCTCTTAAAACATTAAAATAACCTCCCACTGGAGCTTTGTCTCAGTGTCTTAAAAAAAGGACATAAGGCATGTTTGACAGCTGGCATTCTCAGAGGAAAATAGGACACACCAAACAAAGGATGGAAATCAATCACGCTTTTTGTATCCAATACTGAATCATTGAAAAAATGCATTAATTGGCCCCGATCCTGGTCCTGTGCATCGGCTTAGGACACCCCTAAAAGTCACCATTAAGAGCTTTAAGTTCTTAAAGCAAAGAGAGGCCTTGTTTTGGCAACCACTGCAGCAAGATCTGGCTGCAGCCAAAGCCCGGTTACCTTTCTGTTTGTTTGTGACATACTGTGGTGTAATGCAATGTCTCACCTCGACACCTGACTGTGATGTCACTCATTTTGATTGGCAGCCGCAGTGTTCGGCCTGTTTTAATAGCTTCCTGTCTGGTGAATCAACAGCAACCCTTTGGGATAGCTGTCGACCCTAAGACACACACGCACGCACACGCACACACACGCGCGCACACACACACACACACACACACACACACACACACACACACACAGACTTGACACTGAGCTGCAAACTTCCTCAGTCTCCCTCTTCGATGTTTGCCAGCTGCAGTGGAAGCACCAGGTTAGCTCTGCTCAATTGCTCACCAGAGGAGTGTGTACATATGAGCACACATGCTAGAACACAATCACATACTGCACACATGAAATGTGCTCAGTCTCTCAACAGTCCATACAAAGTCCATGCCTGCCTTACAGTACACCCAGCTGACTGATCATCACATGTATGCTCCATTATAATGAATGCTCCAACATTATTACACCAA